AACCAGCGGCACAGCGCCCGCTTCTTCGACGTCCTGACGGCGCAGCTGGGCCTCGGCCCCGAGCGGTGAGTGCGGGCCCGGCCCGGGGCTCGGCCTGGCCCGGGGGCTTACACACCGTGCCCGCCCCGGGGGCAGGGAGAGGGAGAGCGCCTCTTCTGTCAGGCTGCTGTGGTCTGTGAATACGTGGAACGGCAGAAAAAGCACAGGAAGGTGTTCAGCGTGATGGTGGTGCGGGTTCCCGTGGCCCCCATGACATGGAGGTGTAACACAGATCCAAGAGTACATCACAGACGTTAAGTGCTCCTGGATGCCGAATCCCAGACATAAGGTTTAGGTCCAGATAAAACCACAGACCGGTGTGCACTTGTTAAACACTCTGGGATGTACTGTTCTCTGAGGATGAGCAGTTCCAGTTGCTGTAACTGGTGCAAAACCCCGTGGGTATCGGTAGAGCTCCCCAGTGGGATCACCATGCCAAATGCTGGAACAAGGCTGTTCCTGAAGGTAAGCCATGCCCCTCTGCCCCCCACCCTCGACTCCCCAAGGACAGTGATAGTATTTCCCTGCCTCTTGGGTGCTGTCAGGGTAAATACCCAACAAGATTATGAGCTGCTTGGGTCCTTCTGAAATGGACAAGTATCTTGTATATACAGTGTTGAAATTCAGTCTGCTTTTCAGCTTGTGTGGATGAAATCTGGCACCTGTTTGTATCCTGCCCGTACACAGCTTATTTTTGCTTCTGTTAAATTGGCATTGTGAAGTGTGAGCCAGCAAGAGCTTAGTGCAGATTTTCTACCTTGTTGCAAACTGGACAAGGATAATATTTAATTGTAAAATGATGTTTCCTGTCCACTGCGTTTTTGCTCTTATATCCAAAAAAGGATTATCATCCGCTTCTACCCACTGGAGCCCTGGCAGATCGGGAAGAACAGAACAGTCATGACGTTCCTGTGATCTCTTGAGCGGCCAGTTCGAACAAAGCAACGATGAAGACAACCCAGAGATGACCAGCTCCATCTATCTACTTGTTTCCTCTTATGATCAAATCTGTGTAGCTCTACACATTCACCTGTATGATTCACTTTCATCTTTGCATCCTTTGCACACAAAGCTGAAGAGTAGGGCAATCAGCTATACTGATGTTACTGAAATAGTTCAAGGTCTTTGTCTCAAGCCTGTCTCGTAGCCCAAAGGCTCTCCTGGTGTCCATGGCAAAGCCATTGCAGTCTGGTGATGGCTATACATGGGCCTAGACAAAGCTGTCTTTTAGCAGCAAGAAGTTTAATTCCAGAATAGATTTGGCTTTATTGAGGACCAGAGAGGTTCTTGTGTTCATTTAGATTTCCTCATACTTTGAAAGGCAGAAAGATCCTTCTTTCTGTTTCTCTGTGGCAGCAGAAGGGCTCCAGGCTGGCTGAGAACACTTGGAAGTCAAATTCTCTTTTCAGGCTCCCCAAAAGCCTCTTCTGCAAAGAGGTGATTATTGGAATGGAAGTTTATGCATTTGTATAATTGTGTCTTGAAGGCTCATGTCAGATCTTGTGCTCTGTGCTATACTGTTGCCACCCCTGGTAGCTGCTTCTACAAAGTGTCACTTGTCCACAGGATTTTCATGGATGAATGTTTGTGTTGTCACGGCAGCGTGTAGAGGAAGGAGTTTCTTGTGGAGAATTGCACTGTGCTACAGGAAAATATTTTGAAGGTTCTACTGCCAGCTTTAATTCTTGTTATTCACCCAGTTCAAAATACTTTTCCTCACCCTGCTGCTACAGGGAACGTTTTGGGATGATACAGCATCTCACTGTGTTCTGTGGCTGGTGTTTTCAGCTCACTGTCCCTGTGGGGAAGTGATTTGGGTTTTTAGGACCCATGTGCTCCCTCCATTTATAACTGGAATACACATGGAATTTTATTTTTAAAAAAGATAGTACTTTTTATGTATAATGTTATCTCTGCCTTCCACTGGTAATGAAAACATTCATCAGTTTCCTTTCCACTTTGTGACTTGCTGAGGTCGCAGATGGGGAGCTCAGAGGAACTGAGAGCATGCCCTTGGATATGGAGATCCATGGGAACTCAAGGCTTCTGCGCTCCTTTGTCATTCTGATTGGAGTTTTATTTATGACTTGAGGTTTCAAGATAGTTGAAAATATTCCTTCTAATTACCATTTGAAGTTGGTTGTTCCCTATGCAGCATAAACATCTCTGTTTGCAAAATCTGTCAGGACTGTAATACCAAACACAAATTTGTCTATCAGGCTACAGGGGGGGGCTACACCTTATCTGGTTAATAAAATGTATCAAAGCCTCTTTTAAGTGTCAGTTTATTGACTTATGATGTTGGGGGTTTTTAGCTCTTGGTGCTTGGAGCCAAGTACCATGGTTGCCCAGGTCCCTGTACTTTCTGAGGAGGTCTTTTCAACTAAAAGTTTTTGAAACTCAGGTAACAGGTAGGTGAACTGAGTCTGAGACACGTGTAACTTGGGAGTATCATGTTGCAGGGAAGTGGGTAAACAGCCCTGGTTTGCAAACGGCTTGACCAGCTTGAAGATGAATACTCAAATCCAGAAAATAATATTGCTTTAATTCTGATCTGTAGATGGCTCGTTTCCTGGAGGTCCTTCTATCTCATGAGGGAACAAGCACAAACTCTTGTCAAAGCCTTTGTTTTCTTTAGAGAAACCCTGCTCTGCTCTATGCCCCCATGCTCCTTTTTCAGGCTGTGTTGGCCACTGCTAGGCACTGCCACAGGATCTGTGCCTTCCCCTCCTGCTTGCCCTTGGCTGCTCCCCGCATGGGCTCTTGCCTGGGAGCAACTTTCCCAGCATTGCAGAGCTGAGCAGGAAGAGTTAAGAGGAGAGAGAAAGCTTAGAAAAAAGTATGCCATATCTGAATAAAATGGGTCCTCAGTGTGACTTTCCCACCCATTTCCATGTTGTGTCTGCATTCTGGTGTTATCTGACAAAATGGCCTAGAATAATGCAAAATCACGGCAAAAGCGCTGGCTCATCTTGAGAATTTGATGGTTCATGGACTTTGACCTTTCTTTTATAAGAGCAGTTAAAATATTAATGAAAGGATCAGTTGGTTATGATTTGTTTATGCCTCGATCTGAGACAACTGATCCTTTTTTGGGGCTGGGTATTGTTAGCACAGAATGAGATTCTGCGAGTCCTATGAGCTTACAGCTGGCTGTTGCCCTTCATAAACTGATGGTGGTGAATATACTTTTTATGTTCATGTTGATCTGAAGAGATGGTCTATGTTTACTCCACTGAACTACTGTTAGAATAGGTTCATAAAAGATTTTAGGGCTTGAGGAGGGCCTGCAAAGGGGCTATGCAGCCTCCTGAAACCCACCCTACAGAAACCAACAGAAGCAGGAAACGTATCTCTGTGGCTTATGTTCTCTAGTTGGAGAAAATCTGATACACTACCCCTATCTAGGGCCCAGCAATAATGTTAGAAAATTCCTTTCCCTTGAATGCTATCTGCAGATTGTCCCTCTTCATATGGAGACTGCCTGACATCTGCATTTAGTATCTCCCAGCTATAGTAGATGGTTTTACCATTGAACTGATTCTGTAATCTCCCAGACTTAACCTCCTAAGGCTGATTAATATTTCTGCTCCCAAAAATGGCCTCAGTTGGTTTGTTTGAGAATTCTGCTTAGGCATGTTTGCAAATTCAAAGGTAACAACCTGATTTTGAACACTGTGTAACCATTTCTTAGCATCAAACCTTTGAACTGTGGACAGTCTGTGTTTACTGGAGAGGAGGACCAGTGAGGCCCTGGGCACACTGAAGGACACTACTGACACAGAACCACAGTAACGCTGGAAGATACTCTCCAAGCACAACAGAGTGGTGCTGCTGTTCATGGCAACCCTGTTCTTAGTTTGTCATGACAGAAACACAGGTATTATTTCCCCCCACAGATGGGACCCCAGAATTCATACTTTGGGTGCGAAGAGGACTCTTCCTTACGGTGATTCAGTGAAGTGCTTGAGGGCGGGTGGTGGCCCGCTGTAACAAGAGGTGGCTTTAAGCACGTGCTTATCTCCCACAGATGGAGCAGGGCCCGCGCATGCCCTCCTGTCTGCTCCGAGGCTGCTGCCGGGCTGCAGATGGCACGCCTTTCTCAAGACTCGCTGCAATACGATCACTTTACAGTTAAACAAAATAATTTCTAGGAGGAGCATTTGCAGTTATAGTTTGGGGTTGGGCGGCTGCCTCCCATCCCACACAAACACCTCCCAGGGACGTTCCCCTCTCCAGCTGGCGCCACGGCAAGCCTTGGGGAAAAGCAGTACCTTCGGGACCACGTCCAGCCCCCCGGGCAGGGCACCCGAGTTCATTTCAGCTCTGCACGCCCGGCCCGCACCAGGACAGGCCCCGCCCGCCCC